TATATGTGGCCTATTAGGAACCGGGCTGCATAACAAGAAGTGAGCGGCTAAAACTTCATCTGTATTTGCAGCCGCTCCCCAGCGCTGGCATCACCACCTCAGCTCCACCTCAGATCCACCTCAGATCATCGGGCATTAGATTCTCACAGGAGCACCTGTCCTTGGTGCCAAAAAGGTTGGGGACCATTGGCCTAGAGTGAAGACTCAGGCTGCTGTGTGCTACTACCAGTCAACATTTCCTTTAGATGGTGTGCTGACAAGGGCATTGGGAAAGGTAGGCACTGAGTGAACAAATGTCTATGCAAAACATAGGTCCAGTTGAGGTTGCTTTCAACTGTAGCTCCTATCCTGTATGGCATAGGGCAGTAAGCCCTCTAATCTGGCAAAGTGTGCCTGGCAATATTTCTTTTCCCCTGTGCTGGAAATACTCTTCTCAGCCCTTTGTGTGCCAGGCTACTTCGAATCCTTTTTTTCCCTTAATTTAAATAACATCTCAGAGAGGCCAGCCCATATTTAAAGTAGATCCCCTACCTTATACTCTATTGGAATCCACTTCTTTCGTAGCACTTATTACAATTTGTAATTATTTAATTTGTTACTGTACTTCATTTTTTGTCTATTTTATCCACTCTATTGTAAGCTCACGAGGACAGGGATCTTATCTGATTTATTCACTGATATATCCCCAAAACCTATAATACAGTAAGCAATAAATACATATTTAATTGGATGAGCAGGAGTTAGTAAAAAAACAAACAGGACAAAATGCGTTATTTTTAATATTATCAAGATATGTAATATACAGTGAAGACAAAACTGTAATGAATGAACATTTATGCATAGGGTGGAAATATATAAAAGAAATGGTTTTAAAAATTTTAGAAGTGGACAAAATTGCAGTCATGGTGGGAGACTAATACATATCTTTTAGTCCTTGACAGAAAACATAAAGATATTGAGCATTCGAATAATACAATTTAGTTTGATCTAACATGTATAATAAAGTTCATATTCAAATAATAAAATTCATATCACAATAAAGTACCCTACAGGCTGAGAATACACATTCAAATGGATGTGTATGGAAGTTGGCCTCATCAAAATTTGAAAATGGACATTTTCATTGATATAAAAGACATTGAAAAATTATAAGTGAATAGTCTCATGATTTAATCCAAATAATTTTTTTAATTGAAGAAATGATTTAAACTTTTCCCCCTGTCTACCTCTCCTTCCCCTCTCCCTGCTCCACTCAGGTAACCACTAGTCCATTGTCCATGTCCATGAGTCTCTGTTTGTTTGCCCTGCTCATTTGTTGCTTTTAAGTTTATATCCCACATATAGTAATATCATCGTGATTTTCAACTTTTTCCGTCTGGCTTACTTCGCTTAGCATGATTATCTCAAGGTCCATCCATGTTGTCTCAAATGGCAGTATTTCATCTTTTCTTATGGCTGAGTAATATTCTATTGTATATGTGTACCAAATCTTCTTTATCCAATCATCTATTGAAGGACATTTTGGTTGTTTCCATGTCTTTGAAACTGTGAATAATACTGTAATGAATGTTAAAAGTATATAAAAAACTCATACACCTCAACAA